AAATCTGTTCTCCATATGCAGTCCTTAACAACCTTCTGTCTGCCAAAACTAACAGGCATACCATGTGTATGTGGGGTGTTGTAATAAACAAGAGACAACAGCACATCATAGTCATGCACCACAGCGTGAGGTCAAGCATATTCCTCTTTAGTGGCCGGCTGGGTTTTTTTTTTCTGTCATCAGTTTTTGCTGGCTTTCGCTAAAGTGTCATAAGCCATCCGATTGTAAATCTTGGTGACCTCGAAGGCACAAGAGAAAGCAGAGATCCGTAAACCAATCATCGCACGGCTGCCCCTGTCAGCCACGCTCCTGTTCACACAACCACCGACTGAATTTCCTGATGTTTTACAGAGAAAAGAAAGAGGATTAAATGCTCTTTGTGAGAGCAATTTGTCAGTTTTAAAGTTTATTTAAATTCCAGCCAATGTCGGCATTATCGCACCTATGCTGAGAAATAGTTTTACAAAATCTCCCCGTTTAACTAAACACTCACAGGATAAACAGTGGATATAGAGGTGTTACAGACTTAGCTAAAAAGTCAAGATAAAGACTAATGATACTGCAGGCTTCAGCATCTCCTCAGCCTCAGCACAAACATCAGGTTCTTATGGATTTACTGAAAAATCTATTCTATGAATGCTAAAGTCCTTTAAATCTTTCAGAGAATGAAAAGACTTGCTTTATTTATTCATTTCTGTTTTTCCAAGTTGATTACAGGAAATATAAAGAAATCGCCCCCAACTGTGAATCAGTAGAGCAGCTGCACGAGAGATGTACACACACAGTGAAAAGGACCGGATGATGACCAGCTAAAGAAAAGAAAAAATGTTTTGATAATCTTATTTTGCTGAAAAGAATTCTCTAATGGGGATTTTTCACTACATTGACCTGGATTCACTTCAGAATCCACCAGATTATACTCTTTTCCAATTTTCTCAAGAATTGAAGCTTCAAATGTTAACATTATTTAACTATCTGTATTAAACATTTGCTTCCACATTTTCTTTAAGCATAGGATGATACAATTAAAATGTATCATGTTATCTTGCCACTGATACTTATTAATAAAATAACTCTCCATGTTAGCAGATGTCGAAATACTGACCAAATTGATTCATTTAAATAACCTTCATAACAACCCACCTCCGAACAAAAATGAATCTTTTATTTAACATATCGCCTATGTCATTTTCTCTGGAGATTACCTTGACCTGAGTTGAAATCAAAACAATAGTCTAACCCTGATAACATTGTACTGTGCTTCCTGTATCCACAGTTTAAGTGCAGGTGAGTGATCCTTTGATTTCTGTCAGCAGCAAATAATTTGAGATTGTAACAACGTGCTTGAATGAATTGTGCTTGATTAGGTATTTTGACATATAAACGAAAGTTGATCATTTAAATAAACACGTCTTTCGTGATTATGGAGATTCCGATTGTGAAAGAGTTACTACATGAGTGGCACCGATTACCAAAAACTTCTCAGCCCAGATTATATTATGTGGACTGGTGTCTTGCTATGACAATCATGAAGAGATAGCAGCTGCATATCTGCATGCCACAGTTTTTTATCTGCTATTAGTGACACCGTTTCTTGCTGGTATTGTTGCTGGTCCTTTGGCTTTGCTATGGAAAAGTCAGAAATCAAAGTGGCCAATGAACCACTCTGTGATGAAGTGGAACTAAGTGTTGAGATAATGACTCTAGCTCAATGCTATTGGTTGTTTATCTCAAAGAGAGGAGCCTCTAGTTTTGTTCAGCATCCAGGCATGGAGATTAGCAAGGAGCCATCAGCGGTGTGTTGCAGTCCCTCCCATCCCTGCTTCTGCTGTCAGACTGCCTCCTCCCTGCTTGTCAGAAGCACCGACGAGGAGCTGTAAAAACCTTTTCCCCTCTCCTTAACAACTGAAAAACAACACGCACACACCTCTGCTGAGGTGCCTGCTTTTCTGAGGCCTCTGACAGGACGTGCTGCAGGCACAAATTGTAATTCATAAAGGTTAAGGGGGTCAATGCCTTTTATTACCAGTCTGAGTGCATCCAGCTTGATGGGGCGGGCATGCAAATGGAATGTCTCACAGTGTTCTATGCAAGAACTCAGACAGCAATTGTGTGCGTGCCTCTAAACAGGAGGGAGTTTAAGGTGGTTAAAGGGTGGTGGGGTGTGTGGGATAAGCTGCTCTTCTACCTTCCACAGCCATGTAAGACCACACAGCCACTGCCAGGTTAATTAGACTGTATGACATTGACCTCAGTAGTTAACGGCCACTTTGATATATGCTGTCTTGCAATTAATGTATTAAAAATGTTCATGTTTTGTCATTCGTTTAGCTCTGACCTATCAGTTGCTGCCTTACACTCAGGCCTACTGGTGTGTCTTTCATTCTACATTGCATTAACACAAACGCATAGTAAATAATGGGAAATTATATATGCAATAAAATGTTGTTTTAAAGCTACAGAACAAACAAAGAACTGATAGGTTCAGACTAAACCAGATAAACTATCACAAAACAGGATTCAAGTATGTAACCTCTTGGACATTTAAAGAGCAAGAAATAATCTGCTCTCATATATCCATATACTTTAAAACTGTGAATAGTTGTGAGAAAAACATATTTTCCTCTCTTTTGTGGATTCAACATGAGCCTAGCAATAACAGCATGTTCATGTCAGACACTACTGCACCCTCTGCTGGAATTTATAGAGAACAACCTATTAAGTCAAAAGCATTATGCACGCGTTGAACGCCCTCAACACACAATCACTTGGAGGTAATGTCCAGCAATGTAATTTGTAGTTTTCAGATTATACATTTTCAACAGATTTTGACTGACAAATAGGGCATGAATCAGAGTTGTGAACAGAACAAGTCATTACAGATAAATAAAGCACAGTTCAGTCGTACAGATTAAGCTGATCAAAATGGAGAATACAGAACCAAAATCCTGCAAAGTTTATGGAGTGCGGCTGCAAAATTTACCAACCAACATATTATTTACATTTTATTACTTAGTCGAAAAGAGGGGATCCCTTCAGTGTGATCTGCATAAACAAATAATAAGCTCTTCAGCAGTACTTTCATTAATTCATCAATTTAAATGCAAGTATAAGTTGTTATGTTGTAAAGGACAATACATCTTTTATATAAGTTGATTGTTTTTAATTGAAAAAGTATATGAAGACTAATGTAGAGGCTTACCACAATAATGAACCTACAGCTGGTGATGTGACTCCTAGGTGGTGATATGATAACACATGCTTAGAGCAACCAAAACATGAACACGTCCTCATTCTCATTATTGGATTATTTTAGCAGCATGTCCTGATGTACCACATAGATGTGAAACAGTAAAAAGAAAAAAAAAACGATTTCTATCAATTAAAAAGAATAAAACTGAATGAAACTAAATTGACTACAATGGGGGGAAAAACATTGAATACAATAAAATTATATCCAGCTGTTGTCCACCTTCTTTATGACAAAGATCTGTCAATTTCCTCTTCAGTATATTTTGCACACATATGATGTGCCATCTGATTCTACTCACTGCTTACAAGGTCGGGAATCTGTGGCTTCATGTTCATTGTGAAACTGAAAAGATCATACCTGAGGAGCCACTGGGACTTCTCTCCTTTTAAGCCAGCGTGCAGCAAAGGCAGGCTCCCTTTGCTCATTACCTTTCCATCACAGACCAGCTGCTGTGGAGTCATTCATCACGATTACAAACCCGCCTGGTGTCGCTAGCCTACAGCTCCACCATCAGCCTGCGAGACACAAAAATAAGGCTCAGAGCCATCAGTCCCCCTGGGCACAGTGTTAAATTCACAACACAACAGGTGATACAGGGGCAGGGAGATTCTGTTATGAGAGAAAAACTGAGGCTGAAATACATCTTCAATTCTACATTTCAGTAATTATGTGTCTCCGTTGAAAAAAAAAACGGTAATTGGAATCCCACTTTTTTAAGTCTGTACTTGCCTTGCAAGTTTTGTATTCGGATATTTATTTCCTTTATAAATGTTTTAACATTTGAAACAATAATTTAAAAAATAATTTTATTTCATAATATCATTTTATTCTTGTAAAAGAAAGAGCTATAGCTTTACCATAAATGTGTTTAATTTGTCCTGTTGCCTGATTTGCAGCTGTTTGGTACTCCAGAATAATCCGTAAAGGTCTAACATGAATCCTACTGCTATTTTAATGAACTGTTGACATTTGTTCAAGTAGTGAACTTCTTTAGTCATAGTGACTAAAGAAGCAAAACAAATGAGTCCCACAATGTATGCAATGTATGACCACAAACTCAGAAAATCATATAAACTAAGTAAATCCAAATTGAGAGACTTAGACTTAGACTTAGACAGTACTTTATTGATCCCTTGGGAAGACTCCCTCAGGAAATTAAGGTTACCAGCAGCTTAAAGGGCAAACAGTGTCAAGTTAGAATCAGTTTAAGCAAAAATATACAAATAAATAAATAAAAATACAAAAAATACAGATTAAGTACAGTGTATGTGTATGTGATCTCTCTTCCCCCTGTCCTGGTTCACCTCCTCGACCCCAGTGAGGTGTTGTACAGTTTGATGGCGTGGGGGACAAAAGAGTTCTTAAGTCTACAGGGAAAAGTTACAAAAATAATTCAAATCTAATCAGCTTTTGTGCGACATTTCGTAGGGTCAACCCTGGCATCCATCCATCCTTTTTCTGAACAGCTTATTCCCAAATAGGGTCGTGGTGGACTGGAGCCTATCCCAGTATTCAACGGGTGATAGGCGGGGTACACCCTGAACGGTCCGCCAGTCCGTGGCAGGGCCCAACACTGACGTACCAAAACAAATTGTCATATTTTCAGAAATGACAGAATTGTTTTCTTTTTTTTATATTAAAGTTAATTTTCATCGCATTCCTACACCAAATATACACCCAGAAATAGATAAATAGATACACGTACGGTCCGTTTGTGAATTCACTGTTGGCTTTGCTGTCATTTTCATTTTAAATAAAGTTGTAGTGAAATGACCTTCCGTTCTCATCATCCGGGTCTCTACATACATCACTACGCGCAGGCGCATTCTTCCACTGTGGTTCGACCTCTGCAGTCGGTAAGTGTATAATGGCAGTTTGAGTGAGAAGCATATCTTGGTAAATCCCTTTTCATCCTGTCTCGTAGCTTCACATTGCAGCGTACAAGTGAGAATAGAATGCAGAATGAATGTGGATGTACATGTGAATGCCTTCATTTTCTCCGTTGAAGATTTTTACACCCCTTTGACCTTACTTCTGTCCGCTCTTTCCATAGAGAGACCCGGGCTTCCGCCAGATTTCACCGAACTGGTTAAAACAACCTATAATACAAAATGTACGCCTGTGCAAAGTTCGCTTCCACACCGGCTCTGGTAAGTTTGCTCGCCTTTATTTGTCTCTGAGATGTGAATACTTGTTTAAAGTCGTCGAATTTTCCACTGGGCCTCCAGTTGAACTTGACTGTAGCTTATTTGCAAGGGTATCCGTGGACTAGGCCAGCTGGCTAACCAGGAGCAAATGCTAAAGTATATAATGAAAGACTTGTTGTATTGTGCCAGTATTTGTTGTTTTTAGAATAGATGCATTCAAGTTACATTAGAAATGGTGCAGAACTTTTACTTTAGCTATCGGTAGCTACCTACATTGATACCCATAAGTTAAGGTCATTTTGCCCCTGCTAGCCGAGTTTAGCTATTAGACAAGATCTTACCCAAAGGTCCTTCTGTCAAGTTTTGCGCAAATGTTCCCTTTGTCCTTTTGGACATTTACATGACCCATGAATTCTGCCTCTGTCTGTTGTTCCAAGGTCATTTTACATGTCAGAAACATTTTAAAGGAAAAACCAATGTAAGATCTAACATTTTTTATTTGTATCAATCTCAATCAGTGGTAATTGAATATTGGCCACATCGTGGCATACATTTAAGTGCATTTCATTGTGCAGATAGTCCTGGTGTTTGTCATTGAATGCAACAGGTGCTGTAGCCTCAATTCTGCAGTGGATTACACTGTAACATTCAAGGTTCCCTGAGTTTTTGGCCCTGACTTCTTTGAACTATACAATTCTTTTATTGAATCTGTCTTCGTGTTTCAGGTCCGTGCTGGTTCCCGGGCTCTTTACAGACCCCTGTCTGCCTCTGTGCTGTCGAGGCCTGAAGGCCAAACAGAGGTAAGAAATACAACTTGACTGATTATTTTATATGTATTATCTAATTTAAGTGTTTAGATTTTTGATAACGTGACGAGTGTAAGTTATAATGGTTTATTCCTTCCTGGATCTAAAAAGGGATAGATGCAGTTTTGCATGTCATTATGCCTGAACAGTATAATTTCTAAAGAGATAAATGTTCACAGACTTTCTTTCTTCTCTTTTTTTTTTATTTTTATTTAAGAGCACTTTTGCTGTGATGCCACAGAGCCCGCTCACGCAGGTCACACTGAGAGGTTTCCAGACCAGTGCTATCAGCAGGGACATTGACACTGCCGCCAAGTTCATTGGTGCTGGAGCTGCCACAGTTGGAGTTGCAGGGTCTGGTGCTGGAATTGGGACAGTGTTTGGTAGTCTCATCATTGGTTATGCCAGGTTTGTTTTAATCCAGCCAGACCACAGCCAATGTAATAGTTTAAAAATCTCTGCCTTTTCTAAATCTACTGGTGGCTTTTCGTTTGCAGGAACCCCTCCCTGAAGCAGCAGCTGTTCTCGTATGCCATCCTGGGATTTGCCCTGTCTGAAGCTATGGGACTGTTCTGTTTGATGGTTGCTTTCCTTATCCTGTTTGCTATGTAAAACTCTGCCCTCACAACACTTTCCTTACAGATGTGACTACATATTTTATTGTGGCTACCAAAATTGTTCGGTGTTGGTCATGGAAATGTACATTTTTCAAGTCTTTCAGACACTGTCAAAAATAAAACAGCAAAACATGTATTGTACAAATGTAAGAACTTACGTGAATTAAATACATGTATTTGACTATTTACCAATGCAGTAAATTTTATGTCTGGAACATCATGCTGACACAAAGTTGCCAGCTTTCATGAATGTCATCTTTTCAGTGAAGCAGCTGCTTAGACTTGCCATGAATCAGCCTTGTTTTCATAGAGCTTTTTGGGGTCCACCTTAATTATTCCTTCAGCTACAATTGTAGTGCTGTAATCAGGCAAGAAGTGGAAGCTTCATTTTTGTAAATGGCACTGAATAAATAGTTGATTTAAGTGATTTAAATGTTTTTTCTTACCCCTGCACATAGCAAAAGTAGCTTTTCTTACTGGCTGAATTTGAATCAAACTTTGTTTTTAAAAGAATATCCTTCATTCTGAGCTAGAAATTATGTTGGAAATGAAACTAGTGGAGATCTGACTGACTGGTACATTTTCTGTGTTATGCTAGATCTTCAGTGGTTTCAAAGCTAAACAACCCTAACACCAGTAGTTAATATTGGACAATAGTTTTATATAAAACGATAATGGAACATGCTTTTTCACTCATTGCAAGTTGAAGGGAAGTTGTAACCAACTTGAGTGATGCCTTCAGACATATGCAGACTGTAGCTGCCAGTGAAGGAGATAATCTTGTCACGTCTGTATACGTGTGTATAATATAAACGCAAAATTAGAAGTATTTTTAATGCATTATCAAATGTTTCATCTTTTTTTTTTTATCTTGTTGCAACTTAAAAACATCCTAAAGCGGTGTTCGTGACATTAACTGATTCTGACCGCATATGACTGTGACGTTTACGGAAGACTTGCGTGTTATCGCGATACTTTGGCACAGCAGTGGGATTTTGGACATCAAGGGTTGTGGCTGAGGGGTAAGTGACCACAAACTGATAGCGAATGTGTGTAAGGCTGTGTTGCAATAAATTATTTGTCGGTCCGTAAAGTTCCCTTGTTCCAGTGTAACAAAATGAACTCACAGTAAACGTTGGTTGATTTCTCTGTTAACAGTGGTATTTGGGTCCTAATATGGCGACGGTTATGTGTTAACACAGAGCTCAGGCTATTCCATGGCAGCCACTGGAACAGATGATCGCGCCCTGTGTAATAACGTAGGGGCTGTTATTGTGTGTTATTTGTCAGGTTACAGATAAAGGGCAAGAAAAGTCCGCTTCGGTCGCATATTGGGATGCTAATATCTTCACGTTTTCTGAAGACACTCGCATGTAAACAACCACAGCAACCGCCCCTCATCGGTACGCTTTGTCCAAGATTTGATTTCCACCTGTCCCCTCTCAGGGCTTACACCTTTGCAGTCCTTGTACTTATATATTATCATAAACTGAACGTTACCTTAGTTGTTAAAGGCGTAAAGGTTACTCCACAGCCTGAGCGACCGACAGTCAAAATGATTAAGGCATTAAAATGAATGCACATCTTGATATTGATTAACATGCACTTTTTTCTATTACATCGTAGGGTGAAGTAACAGGAATCCCTTAATATGAGTGATGATAAACCCTTTCAATGCACTGCTCCTGGATGTGGACAGGTAATTTGAAAAATCTTCTTTGGTAAAGAAATTGCCCCTATGTTAAGGCGAAATGGCCAGGTGTATAAATGTTGGAAATTTTGAATTATACGTAACCGATCAACCAAAATTAATTTACCATGAATGTCAAGCTGAATACTTGTGTTGTGCCTAAAAGTCTATTGTCAGAATCTCCTAAAAACTCAGTCGAGGTAACCTCTTTCTCATTAATGTCAGATATCTAGAGCACTGTTTAATCATTAGAGTTCAGTTAAGTTTACTTTGTACTTTTTAATTTGTAGAGACAGCGTATCTTCAGTAGAGGGAATATAGTCTAAGTCAGTACAGGACTTTCATTAAAATGACCCGGTAATTAGTAGAAACAGTCTTCTGTGTGTAGGCTGCTGCCCCCTCCATCACCATGTCCCATCATCCTTTCTGTGTTTTTGTTTTAAATAGAGATTCACAAATGAAGACCACTTGGCTGTCCACAGGCACAAACATGAGATGACACTGAAGTTTGGTCCAGCAAGGAATGATAATGTTATCATTGCTGGTGAGTCCTCCTCGACTTCGGATCATTTAATGTGGCCTTGAGGCCCTGTGCTTCACTCACTTTATGGGCATTCCTTCGTTGCAGACCAAACTCCCACACCAACCCGCTTTTTGAAGAACTGCGAAGAAGTTGGACTCTTCAACGAGCTCGCAAGTCCTTTTGACCATGACTTCAAAAAGGCAGCAGAGGATGACATTAAAAAGGTTGCAATCGTCGTTAAACATGTTTGGAGATCGTCAGACCGTTCTCTGTGTTTTACACTGTTGTGATTTTCTTGTTTTTTCTGCTTTGCAGTTACCGTTGGATTTGTCGCCTCTTGCTACACCTATCATACGCAACAAAGCTGAGGAACCCGCAGCTATAGACGCACATCGGGACAGCCCCCTGCCGCACCCTGAGTCCACTACAAATGATGACAAGGTGAATCTGCCTGAACTGCCCTGAGTTCTTTGCATAGTGATAACAAGGCTGTGATATGGTTTTTCTTCCTGTTTCCTGATCATTGAATTTGATGTAAATCTACAGATCTATTGGTATGAATTTTCTCGCTTGAAATCTGTGGTCTTTCTTAACTTGATTTACACTTCCAAAGCAATATTTAATGTCTGATTCTGTTTCTAAAAAGATTTAAGTCCGTGAAAAATAGTAAAAGCCTCCTCAAAAGCTATGCAGCTATGTTTCGTAAAGTTGCAGCACCACATTATTTTAAAATAACTGATCTGGTTGTGATGACACAACTCCTGCTAAGATCTTGTATGATGTTTTCAGGATTTATGTTTGCAGCCAGCCTCACTGCCAACATCCACTATAGTCCATCCTGCATCCCTCCAAGTTCCCAATGTACTTCTAGCAACCACAGAGGCTAATGTTGTAATACAGCAAGCACTCCCATCGCCAACATCTAGCTCTGTTATTACCCAAGTACCATCCACTAATAGGCCTATAGTGTAAGTAACTGAATGCGTCCGTTTTTTTAAAGAAAATCTTAGTTCTATTAAATCATGGTTTATTTTTCCAAATCATTTTTGTACAGTTTTGTCGTGGTGAGCTTATATTTATTTTGAAAGCATGTGCTTGTCTCTTTTTGATTCATTTGTGCTCTGAGGAAGTTTTTTTTGGCCCTGTGTCACATATGTTTCTCCATTAAAGAGAAATATCAATGTTGCTCAAATAAAATAGAAAGAAGTTTTGTTGCTGTGGTCAATGGAGAAGAGAATTAGGTTTTCACATAATCTTCCCTGTTAAAGCTCATATTTTTCGGTTTATTTTGCCTTTTGACGCCTTAAAATGTGTTGGATTTTTCACTTTATATTTGACTAAAGTGAAATAAACTCATTATAATTCTGGGAATTGGCATTTCCCCCTCAAAGTACCAGAACCAGCTGGTTGAATTCAGTGCACTTTAAAGGACAAATTCACTCTGATATGAAAATTGTCACTAAGAGTGGAGCCCGACACAAGTGATTATGTGAAAACCCCTCGTGTTTCCTTTAAGTTGCAAACAAATGCAAAGCTGTTAATGAGCAGTGCTGATGCTACTTATTAGATCACATTTGACAGTAAACCATGCTCTTTTGTACTATGCTATACAATCCGTTTTTATTTTATTTTAGTTGGCATCTGTTGTCATGTAATTTTTCATCAGTTGTTTAAATGTTACATCATATTACTGTGTGAGCAGCCACCTTTATTTTTAAAGTACATACGCTCTTTCCGTGTATGGACTGCAAAGCTGTTGTTGTGATCATTGTGATTTCTTTTCTCTCCCCTTGCAGCCCGGTGTCTGGCACCTTCCCCGTGCTCTTACAGCTGCCTAATGGCCAGACCATGCCAGTTGCTATACCTGCGTCTATTACAAGCTCAAGTGTGCATATTCCAACAACAATCCCTGTGAGTGCCCTGCCCCGAATGCTCTGTTGATGCACTGTTGTAAGCATGTGGTCATATCACAGTTGAACAATTGGAAACATTCGCACCACGTTTCCTTTGCTTCACTTGAACGGTTAGACAGAAAAACCTGAAGTCCTGGTTACGACTGTGTGTTGCTGCTTCAAAGTCACAGGATTTGGCAGAGGAGCTGTGGGCTTCAGGCCAGGATACTTTATTGCTATTTGTCCTTGTTCGATTAAAAACTGACGCTCTTGATGATCAGGCACAGCTGATGAATTATACTTCTCGTGTTTTTTAAGCGCAACCCATGACCGAGTTACATGAATTAGATCATATAAATGAAGGTGTGGTTAGGATATTTGTGAACTCCCACAAGTGGAAGCTTGTCTTATTGTTGAAACTCTGATTGTCTGCGTGGAACAATGAGCAGCGGATGATTATCTCCTGAAAGCAGCACAGTGGGGAAAAGCCCCAATCTTCCCAGTCTGTGGGGACTGGGAAAGCCTTTGACAAGTAGGCTAGCGGTAGATGGAGAACAAGAGCCACCAGTGGGCCTCTCTTTCACTTGATCATCTTGTCCTCCCCTCCCCTTCCCCACTTCCTTCTCCATCTCACTGTCAACGTCTGAGCCTTAGTCCGGCCTTCTGACTCATGTTTCTACATCCTCTCCTCTGCTTCCCTGTCCATATGCTCTCACTCAAGCAGGCAGAGGTTCATTAGCGTGCACACTGCATCTCCATGTGGCGCTGCCTCCACAAAATAACAGGCCATCCAGCCTAATGAAGCTGAGATATGGGGAACCTGAGGGGCTGGCATGGCTGAGTGTGTTTGTGTAGTGGGGCGGGGGCAATGTCTGCCTTTTTACAGCCAAAGACTAATTTTCCCTGTGCTGATCTGTGTCTGTGTCTTTGCTGTCAGCTTGTCAGACCTGTCACCGTAGTGCCTGCCGTGCCTGGAATCCCTGGACCGCCCTCTCCGCAGATTCAGCCCGTCCAATCAGAAGCAAAGCCGGTATTTATCACCATTAATATCAAGTATCATCTCCCTGTTGTGTCTATTATTTCCCATCTGAGAGAGATGATAACAACAGAAGTAATGAGAGGGCTTAAGGACGAGGGAATAATAAAAGCATTAGATGATTTTTTCTTTTGTCTTTTCTTTTTTTCCCCCTCCCAATAAGATTTTAATTAGCCCTTTCATTAATTAACTTTCCATCTGGATCTGGAGTTGAATATTTTCTGATGAGCAAATTAACTTTTTATCAATTTGTTAAACAAAATGACAATAAGATGATGCACAAAGTTCTGCAAAGTATTGAGGAAAATGAAAAGCAAGTAAGAAAATTATGATAAATTATTGTCACCAATCAAGGAAGACTTGTTCAGAGATTTGCTCACAAACCGAGCTGAAACCTGATCCTGAAGCTTCTTTATTCTATCAGAATTTTATTGGTAAAAATCCAATTCATTATTTTAAATGGATCAGAATCCAGTGGTCACACCAGTCAAATATTTTGGACGTTTTTGGCAACATGCTAATGAGCTTCTCCTCTAGATCCTCTTTAAACCCCTCCAAACATAGGTCTAAATGTTGTGTTGTTGTCCTCCTTTAAACGTGTTTAAGGACAGAGATATGAAGTGCTGTAAAGGAGATCAGAGGCAATATGATGAAGCAAGGATCACAGAACCCGTAAGTGTTCACAGCATGCTTCGCCTGTGGAAATTAACAGCTAGACTCTGGAAAGGAGGTGTGCAGGTTGTGTTATAAGGAAAGGATTGATGCAGACGGGTGAGGAGGAATAGGACGAGAAAGGAAGGGAGGGGTTAGGAGTCGTTGGGGATCATGGGGTGTAGAGATGACAAACGTAGAGACAGTGTTGGTCTCAGCACGCCGTCACCAGGGCCAACCCGGGTGGGGGGTGGGGGGGGACCAGCTAAAGCCAGCTGGGGGCATCCTGGCACCGGCTCAGCGAGGCGCATTAAGTAAGCCTCACCCGGCGTGGAACCTTTTGTTCAGCAGAATCCTGCATGACCTGCGTCCTCCCCCCCCCTCACACTCGCGGCGCCTCCCACCGCACTCAGCTCATCAGCAAACACCTAATGAGCCCGCATCCAGAAAACAGACCCCCACCTCAACCTGCCCGCTCCCCACCTCCACCAGGCTCTCATGGGGTGGGAGTGGGGGGCTAGACGGCACTTTTACAAGGACTGATGATGCTGCAAACACCACAATAATGATAATTAACTTGCTGAATTTAGAAGATTATGCTGTTAATTAGTTGCAAAATAAAGATAAGTAATATAGTAGCAGATGGTTGAATAACACCCATGAGATGAAGGGTTATTACACTGATGAGGTTTCCATGGCAGAGATGAAATATGAATCTGACTGGCTTTTCCCTCTTTCTATGGGCCATTCCAAGAGAATAATATCTTGTTTCTGCCAGAAGAGCTTCTGGAAGGGTATTACACGATAAACTAATTTGGTAGATAGATTGGTCTGGCAAAGGTAGCTGTTAGAATAATGCGACCCTCTGTTTTTCCATGTAAATGTATTCCCACTCACTTTGTTACTGCTCGGGAAAGCTCATTCACTTTCACCTTGTTTCTTCCGTGTTTGATGTTGGAGGAATTGACCTGTGAATTGCAGACACCAGTCTACAGAGGAATAGTTTGTGTGAATTGGCTGCGTTTCTCAGTTACATAATGAGGGGAAGTGTTCAGAAAGCTTTTCTTTATTGTGTTTTTTTTCTTTTTTTTTTTTCTTGCTGGGCATTTGGTGCACAGATCAAAATTTACATAAAGCGACTATCACTTTCTTGAACAGGAAGCCCAAAACTTTCTCTACCCTACTTAATGAATGTATCTTTTTAGTGCCAATTTATCTTGCCTTCATTCATTTTTGTGTCAAATTGTATGTGCTTCATTTAGAAAAAATATTTTGCAATATCCAGTAAATGCCCGGGTAGATAATCAGCTTCTCAAACATACATCTCTCAAGACAAAAAACACATTTTAGTATTTTGATATTTTCTTTGTGTTTGAACACAAAGCAATTCTTGCTACAAGTGTGTCAATACAGTGACACTGAATTTGTATCAATAAAACAGACATGAGAGCTTGTTTCATTCTAAAGCTCCAATTCAATACTATGTTAGTCTGGCCAAACCAGACTGTTCAAGTGCAAGTAAACATGCCTTACTGAACTAAAGCGGTGCCGAGTTTCTCAAAACTGCACCAACAAAACCAGATGGCCCAGTTGGACAGTGAATCATATGTGGAGAACTCGGCTCAACTCAAATGGGCTTCTTCATTCCACACATGCTCTTAGGTCTCAACTGTTTGCATCTTTGTGTAAATGCAGAAATAATAAGAATATAGACAATATATGTTAATTTATTTAGCCAAATTTCCCCCAAAAAATCTATTCCCAACCAAGCCAACAGTACACACTCTACTCGCATTGGAAATTACGGGAAAAACAATTGCACATGAACACATCGTAAGGATAACCTCCCCATTGCCCATGCAGACTCCAGTAAAACAAGAATGGAACAAACCTCCCAAAGTCAAGAGATTCTTAAACACAGTAACAATTGCTGGTTTTTATGGAGGGACTTAAATCTTTGCTGCGTAGGCAGTTTGAGAATTTTTTTTATTGATTTTAAGATTTTTTACCTACTTTTTAGTTTGTGACCATATTTATAACCTTCACTCTCTGTCAAAAATGGGAAATGGGATCCATTTCATACAAAAACCTTTTATAACAACTTTTTTTTACCCCTTTGTTCCATTTTCTTTTGCTAGACGCTGAAAGCCACTTTAAGCCAGCAGCTTCCTCAGGTAACCAACGGAGACGGTGGGGAAATCCAAAGCAGCGCCGTGACCCACACTGCTGCTCCCGCTTCTCCAGCCCCAGCTCCAGCTCCTGCTGCCATCCTCAGTCCAGCCCCTCATCTGCCCGCGGCTGAAGAACCGTCCACACATTCCCTCCAGCAGCCGGCCACCTCCACCACAGAGACACCTGTGAGTCCCTGTCCACAGAGTAGTTTTGTCCAGGAGAAAACACCTCGCTGCTAATGCGTTTGCACCCTGGGTTGTTAATCACATACCATAAATTTAGATTTATTTATTCTGCCACAGCTTCTGTTTAGGATAAAACTGGTAGAATCTTGGCTCTGTTGTATCTACACAATCCCTCTATATATCAAACTTTAATATAAAATGTTAATACATTCTACCCCTGACCTACTGTTGAGATGTCTCCTCTGTAAAGAGATTTTGCCTTTTTAAGCAGAATTTTAAGTGGCTATAATTTGATTATTTTTGCCCACTTAATCATGACGAAAAGTAACCCTTTTTGTTGCTCTCCAGGCTTCACCTCTACCACCCACACCGAACCCTCCAAGCACAGGGGGCCGGCGCCGCAGAACCACAAGTGAAGACCCCGATGAGAAGCGCCGCAAGTTCCTGGAGCGGAACAGGGCCGCCGCCTCTCGCTGCAGGCAGAAGAGAAAGGTGTGGGTCCAGTCTCTGGAGAAAAAGTCTGAGGACCTCAGCTCCATGAATGGACAACTACAGGTGACTTGTTTTTTCTCTGCTACCGCCTTATCCCCAGATGCACCAGTGTGTCAGCCGGCAGGCCTGCTTATCATTAACTGATGTTAGTGTGAGCATGTGCACACAGACTTTTCCTTTCTGTGGTGATGAAGTCATTAAAGCCGATTAAGAAGATCTGCGGTGTGACAGCAGCAGTGTGTGAGCCCTGTACATCGATATGTCCCTGTCAATAAAGATGTATCCTCCAGATGTCAGCCGCACACAAGCGTGTCGTCGCTTCTGTCTCAGCAGTTTACTGAATGGCCTCAAAAATCTCCCAGGGAAAGGTGTCTTTTTGAACCTTCATTTCATAGGATGCAATTAGGATCTGATGCTGACAAGTTCGAAACAGTTCATGTGTCTGCTGTCTCTGTTGATAAGTGTGCCGGGGGTGCGGCACCACGGTGTTCCAGACAATTAAATGAGATGTGGTGTTTACTGGCTCACCGTCTTATTTTTCTATGAAAAAGATGCTCAGGGTGGAGGAGGGAATACACAGCAGCATACAATAAACAGGCTGCTGTTAATATCTAGTTCAAAATCAAGTTATCACCACTTGTCATGTGCGCGCCGCCTAGGAATCTATTTAAATAAAGACAGATGAAAGGGATTGGAGGGGAAATCACTGTTAAATACAAAGAACGGCCCAACATGTGGTAAAGACTGAAAGAGTCCATTATATGAGGACATTAATCAGCAGTGCATTTTGGTAAAAAACATTTTTTTAAAAGCCCATGCTGACATAGCCCAGCTGATCAGCGAAACTGCCTCTAATGATGCACAATTATTTTAACATCATCCTTAACTGGCTTTTTAATGAGGTGTCAGCCCAGGCGGCTCACTGGGCTTCCAGCACCACCCATAGCCCATTTGCTTGATTTCGATTAGCTTGGAAACAAGTTTTAACTCTCTATGATCCAGCTGCTTCCGGTTTGAAATCCCACATGTGAAGAGTTTGACGGAACAGTGGCTGGGTCAGCTTTGATTGGCAGAACTCTTGTCATACTTCTCATACCCCCCCTTTTGGGCAAATGTTTATCTTTGCAGTAAATTGCATGGAGCATTTCTAAAAGAATGTGTTTACGCTGGCTGCAAATGGTGGCGGTCCAAGCACTGTGAGTTCTGTGTTGGCTGCGTGTGATACATATGCTTCTTCCAGCTGTGTTTAAATCTCTCATACAATAGCTCAGCCCTGCCAGCACCAGCAAAACTAAACAGATGGAATCAAATAAATTGGCTGCTTTTAGACTAATAGATTAAGCCACCCGTAGTCCTTTAAAGGAGAGGAGAAGGAGCTTAAATCTGTCATTAGGTGTTCGCGGGCCCCTGGCCACTCTAAATCCAGTTAAAGTCACCTTCAGTGTAATGTGGCTCTCTTTTACGACATGCAGAAATCCTCAGCTCTCTTGGGAGCTGTAACGACACCGGAGTGTAAATCTCAACAGCATCTACGAAGTTGTACTGACAATCCGAACAGCTCACCTCTGACAAATGTGCTGGTCGGTCGGCGGTGAAGGCACATAATTATTGCGCAGGGAAAACATAAATGAAGGAGTGCTTTATACTTGACCCTGAATTAATTTATACTGTTTTCCTTTCGTTTGCTATTTCTAACGGGCTGAGAGAATATACTGTTACATTGCACAAAGAGATTTAGAGAATTCAACAGTGATCCCATTAATTATTGGTATTATTGAAAAGGTGGAGTTATCCATCCATCTAAAAAAGCTATAAAGCCAAATCCAAGCTGGTTCTATGTACCTACTGTTATGTGCAATTACTGTATAAACGAAGGATTTATATTTCACTTGCGTTTACATGAGCCCAGAGATGTAAAGTGTGGTATTTAGTGGCAGAGGCCATAAATTTGCAGAGGGCTGCCAGCTGATTGTGCCCCCCCGCCCCCGCCCCACAACCTTTCGAGCATGTATTAAAAAAAGACGATGCTGGCCATGAAAAACGTCAAAAGCCTTCGGTCAGAGTCAGTGTTCTGTTCATTTCTGCATGCTTTCTGTGTCAGCTGAGCTTTTTATATACCAGCTGCATGCTAGTATATCAAAAGCTTCAACACAATAAATTCAAGTGACGTAATAACAGAAACTTAGTTATGTGTCTAACACGCTGCCGATATATCACCCTAAATGTGCCACTGTGGAACTGTAGGGATCTGCTCATGTCTTGTTTGAACTCCCTCTTTTCTGATCAAGAAGCAAATGGGAAACTCCCCATTGTGCATGTATTCACTGAATGTTGTCTTTTTGTTTTCTTTAAAGGAATACTGTTTTTCTTTTCATAGCTGGAATACGTATTTACCTTTAACTAGACTAATAGAGGCCTAAAATTCCCCCTCTGTTTAGTACCTGAAAGTCATCTTTGAAGCTTTTGGCTGGGTGCACCTGTCGCCTGTCCATCTCCAAGTTCTCATGCGACGCTCCCTCAGTCCAACAGTGACCATTTCAATGAGTGCTGTTGTGTGTCTCCTCTCTCCTCAAGAATGAAGTCACCCTGCTGAGAAACGAAGTGGCTCAGCTGAAGCAGCTTCTCCTGGCTCATAAAGATTGCCCTGTAACCGCCATGCAGAAGAAATCTGGCTATCACAGTGAGTAATGCTCCATTATTCCCAGCCTGAGGCCGCAGGCGAAACATGTCTAAAATGAGCTCCAGCTAAGAACACGTCTTACTCATGGCCAAACAGGAAGAGCTATTGACATGCTAGGTACTTTTTTCTGTCGGAAAAACTTCGCAGAACTTCAGACTTTAATGGATGTTGGCGGTTCAGCCAAATCCTTACAGAAGGCTCCATGTGGCATTCACATTGTTTCCCAGCATTGTCACCTAAATAAGCATTTGATGGATGAAGTTAAATGCCTGTTGTAATCTTTAGGAAGGGTGCTCAGCAACTAAACATTTATTCTCCCCAATACGTGAACCTGCATTTTTTAAGACCTTCACGTGGCGATTAAGATGTTTTATTTTCATTGTCTTCAGCTTGCAGTGATAATTTTTATGAACACTTGAGGATCCAGCCATTTGCAGCCTCTTTATTTAAATTTTGTGTTGTCAGCATGCTTTGCACAGACTCATCACATGGCCTCATTTAGATTCATATCACCAATTTTTCTTCGTTTTCCTCAGACCGGGGCTCTGTCATTCCGATTTTGTGGTCATAACTCACCTTCGCTCACAGATGAGCCGCCATGCAGCCAGAAAGCACCATGCCGCTTCCACGCTGCACCGTAAACGCAGCGGCTGACTTGTATTGACAATGATTGCTACTGAAATGAGTCCATTAAAGCAGCGAGCTTGACAAGACAGCACAACATTCTCATTGCAGGGTGTCCACCAAGCCTGGACCTTCATTATGCATATCCATCCCATAGACACACTTCCCGTGTTTAATGATACTGATGGTTGCCAGGCTAGAGGGTGCTGTCATGCGGCTTGTTGCAGATGGTTTTGTCCAGGACCCACAGATGAATTTGGTCACCTTCCCTCATCTGTTCCCTCCCAGTCTGTGCTGTCTCTTTCGGAATTTTTGTGAAGAATGTTCAGAAAAAATACAACATCCGTTCACTTCGGCTCATGTGTTGGGAAGGCGAGATTTGCATCCTGTTTAGGCCTAAATTCAGCTGATGCTTGAGCTGATTAATGCCTTTGAATGGCAGGAGGAAACACTCTGTCTTTGGTGTCAGACCCATGCAAATAATAAGTTGGCATTTGCACTTGTATCTCGGGTAGAAGACAGAGTTGTCGGTCATTATTTCTCTGCTCCTAAATCTTAGTCTTTTCACCTTTAATCTGGTTCTACAGCTATTTACATCTTATATCTCCCCGACTGGCTAAACATTTTATGAAATGCTGTATTGAGAGCTGTGATGGTGTAATTCAGCCGCTTATTTATTTTTAATAGTAACTAACCATCCCCCCTGGTGTGCTTCTGAGTTCTCCCACTTCGTTCACTTCATGCAGATGTACTGTAATCTTTTTACTCTTTTCTATTTATTTTAATTACTCGGGAATCTATCATTTCACCCCACCCCGCGAAAGCAGATCTACACCGCCAGGGCGCAAATGCCCCAGTTCACCAGTCTCTGGAATAATGTATTCTGCTAATTATTAATGCACTTTATTTAACTCCAACCATTCCACTGATGTAAAGCCCTCCTAGTGGTCTGTTTTCTCAGAGTTACATTTCCCACCAGGCTGCTCTGGCCTCCAGACCCTGTAATACCCTTCATCGTCCTGCCCAGGCGTAGCCATGGCAGGTGGAGGGAAATTACCCAGACTGCCCCACAAACAAGCCAGGACATGGTTTCATTTGGCACGGCAGGTTGTCCATCTGTTTACAGCAAACCTCCCTTCAGAAACTAAGAGAGCGGAAAGAGGTTCTGCCTGCTCGGGGAACCGGAATTTCAGAGCATTATGATAAATCAACTAGCCACCCCTCAGTGTTGTTTGGAGCGATGATGCTCTCTTGAACATGAAACAGAAACCAACAAACTGATTCATTCCAAGGTTGAGCTGCCAAAAAAAAAAGAAAGAACATTGAGCTTTCTGTCTTTTTTTCTTGAACAGACGCCAAATAAAAAAAAGGCAGGTGAATCTTCTATTCTGTTGCGTCTCATACGTCACACCGTCCAGCAATGGAATCTGTGTTTTCCCTCTTTAAAGATCCAGCCATTAATTACAAAGTGCCATAACAAGTGACTTCATATAATTAGCTATATTAATTATCATTGTGCTCCTTATTCCTGTATGAAACAGAGCATGAGAGTGGAGTCTCTTTTTTCCATCAGGATCCAATTAATTCAATGCAACTGCCTAACAGCTGGTGGCATTTCGACTCCAAGTCTTCCCTACTCTCCAGTGTGAGCATCATTAAAATCAGGTGCTGTAATCATCTGTCGCTGCAGTAGTTGGCAAGGTAACAAAAAACAAATGAGAATGCAGTTAGGGATGGGAAACACTGCCACATGCCTCCGAATGTAATGCACCCTTACGATGTGGGTTTAAATTGACATTGGAGCGTTAATTAAAGGATGAGGTGCAGAAGTAGCATTATGGGGATTATTGAAACGGTTTGCACACGCTACTTGCAGATAGCTGTTTTACATCTGATTAGGCCTGTGTGACACAGCTTACCCCAGCCTTCTGGATTTGATCTGCTTAAATGAACTGTCAGAGAAAGGCGGCGTGCGGGGGTCCGGGCGCAATGGCTAAATGTCCCTGCGATGTCTCCACAGTCTCCGACAAAGACGAGAGCTGCGAGGAGATGTCCATCCCCAGCAGCCCCCAGAACGAGGCCATCCAGCACTGCTCCATCAGCACCTCCAACGGGGTCAGCTCCTCCTCCACGACGCCGGCCGTCTCCGCCCCGTCCAGTGCTGCCTCCGCCACCGCGTCGTCCAACCACAGCACAGAGGAGAGTCAGCCACAGAGCGGCGCCAGCCATTCTCAGCCCTCAGGCAGCTGATCGGCCCAAACCGTGCCCCCACAGCCAGAGGGAAAGCGGTGCCTCTCTCTCAGCTTCAGTTCCGACTGCACAGTTTTCCATTTACTCCTCGTTTGATTCGTTTTGGGTTTCCATTTTGTACTTCGTAGGCAATGCTTTTAAAGATGCAATGTTTTCTCCGAAACTTATGAAGACAAAAGAACAGGCACTTTAGGTGTAAGATGTACGACTCGTGGTTCTTAACCGTGTTTTTGTATCCGTGCGACTTATTTATTAATCTTCTATATTTTTTTATTTGAAACAATCTGCAGAAGCGGTTGATCTGGGATTTGTTCGCGACCTTACCAAAGTGTGTTGTGGTTCATTTGTAGAAATGTGCGCATTTGTTTTCACAACTTTTTCCCAGCACTATTGTCATGATGGAGTTACTTTTAAGATTGAACACTGACGTTTCTGTCTTTGTGATTTGCTTTTTCCATTTTGCACATGTTTGAGACGGGTTTAGTTTTAAAGGGTTCGTCGAACACCGGCAGCTTTTTCAAAGTAGATTTGAGTACAGTCTGCTGACACACACAGACGAGGCCGAATCACGTTTGGAATTAGACTTTTCTGTGAGTGAGATCAGCTATAGTTGCATTGTGCAGTCTGAATGTTTGAGCTCACCTCTACATGTAAGATAGCCTCATGGAGGTGAGCGGTTTAGATACGTGTGTGATTTCATTAACATTCCATATGTAGTCTGATTGTTTCTGAAGCAGTGATTGTAGGATTGCAGTATCTTTTCCATTACTCAGTCATGGTGATGTTGACTTCATTCAGTGCCATTAATGTTTTTGTATAAATGACTTCTGTACATTTTAGAGCAGATTAGCCTGAGTTGTTGTTGTACTCTCAGATTTTAAGGGTCCCATGAAACATTCTTGCTCTGTAGGGGACATTTCTTGCTTTGTATACTGTCTTTGCTTTAAAGGTAACTCTATGGCTTTAGCGTCTAATGTGGAACACTTGCAGACATTAGGCTGTTTTCATGATTGCAATTCTTGATGAACTTTTTAGGAAACACTGTAAATATAATTAATGATACATTGTATGTGATCTTTATTGATAGTCTGTACTTTGCTTTTCTGGAATTGTCTGGATTCCGTAGCTGAACCCTTTGGTTCACAGTAACTCAGTTAGCAGTTAAAAATGACTTTAGTCTCTCTCAAAGATGCGCCTCTTCGTGACTCAAAAGGTTGTCATGTATGATGATAGCATCCAGATATGAACTTGAAACAAATCATGAATATTAGAGAGACAGTACTGCTCCAGCTCTTTGAGAATTTTGAGCATTTCATCATTGAAGTAATTGTAAGGAACAAGTCACACCTGAAGTCAGTCTGCCTTTTCTCCTAGTCTGTACTGGCTTACTACTGTGTAGTTTGACAAACAGCTAACACATTGTTTTCTTAAAATGTGATTTTTAAAGTTTACTGTTATGTGCTATCTGCATGAGATAACAATTCTCTGCGAGAATTTAACTGTTTATTTAATAATGTCTCGGCAAAGAAAATGACATCAAACAAGTTATTACAACTTGAGTTGAGAAAGCTTTGGTGATTTGTTTTACCCGGGCTAAACTACTAAAACGGGGTGTGATACTGTGTTTAAAGTGTACCTGTATCGTCGAAGTACTGTATAAAATTTGAATTGAGAAGTTGTTGTAATAAACCTTTTAATAATTCTTTAAACTACATCCCTGTTTCCACTTAATTGAACCCTCCGACTTCATCTGATGCTAAAATGGTATAACATGAATGCTGAGCATGTTATTAATAACAACTAACAAGTTATGTTACAATACAAAAATCCAGAGTGTGATGAGAGAACTAATATTTTGTTTGGAGCATGGGGTGGATTCATTTTGTGGTGAAGACTGCCACCTTGTGGAGGTCCATTCTTTCCAAATAAATGTCAAACCCTTTCTATTCTTTTTCAGTCTCACTTCGGTTCATCTTCAGTAAAAAAAAGAACATTTTAAAATAACGTTTTCAGAGACCCTCTATATATTTTTTCCTTCTCTCTTACCGTTTGTCATTTGTTTATGAATACAAAGGCAAACCATGATCACTGAGTTGTTGTTTGAAGGGTTCCTTGAGACCATGCTCAACAGGAACTGTGATGATGTTCAAAGTAGTTTTTTTAAACTTATTTCTTCAAAACCAAGATTGGTCCAAACTTTCTGAACCTTTTATGATGTCATAGATATCAGACAAAGTTATCCACATTCCACATTGTAACCTCAAACTGGGATAAATGTGTCTTAAAATGGTGATTTATTATACTTTACATACTTTTACAGAGTGGACCATACCTCCCCGTCTTTACTACTAAAGACTCAGCATCTCGGGAATGCTGGTGTTTGCTTGCTGAAGTTATTGGGTAAAAATGTTTATTACTATTATTATTGGTTCTCTCGGTCATGATGTCAAAGGTCAGGCAAGTCCTAACACAAGAGTGCGTCATGTGAACTATGAGAGAAGGAACATCTGAAATCTTTGTGTATAAAGATCCACCAACCTGCCAACAGGTTTTATGTCTTTAAATTTATAAAATATCTGTTTTTGGTTGGTTTGCTTAATACATATGAATCTCACTTACTTCACCATTGTCTAAGAAAAAATATGACTGATTATGGAAAATTCATAAGGTTACTTACACAGTGGGGCTGGCGATATGTGCCCAGCAGGTGGCGTTGCAGCCAAACTAAAAGAACTGAAGCTTGTTTCATTATGTAAATAACCAGAGTGTTGTCGTATTTATCTAAATAGTGCTGTTTTGATACAATCCGCTGCTTTCATTTCAGACATGAATGTTTCAGAACATATCATCTTTATTGTCTGAAACTTCACAGACAAATATACCTTTTTTAGATATACAACAATGGCTGAATTTAGTCTCCGACTCTCCATTTGATGGCACTCTGGCCCTCAGTAACATTGCCTAACTAGGGCAGCCAGGATTAGCTGCTGATCACAGACGCATAAGCTGTACTATGTAGGTCACCACATTGGCCAATAAAAACACTTTCAGACTGATGTTACACATTTACATAGCAGGGTAAAAAGTGATGCTACAGTACTGTGTGCAGCTTTGATGTTAAATCAAGGCATCCGGGGGGGAAAGCAGAGCATCAGAGTAGTGTTTTTCAAAACTATTTCCCCACCACATGCAGGCCATTAATTCCAATTGTTTGATTAATTATTTTTTTCTCCTGGCAAACAGCTCTGGTTTATTCATTATTCATGCCGTAATGATTTTAATGTAAATTTGATTAGGTTCCTCTTCAACAAATGCATATCATTTGAAGGTGTCTGTTGGAGCTGGCTGCAAATCCCTCAGACAGACTGCAGCATCCTGCATTTCACACAGAAAATCATCTCATTAGATTAAAAATAGGACCAAATGGGAAAATGCAGAGTTTTTTTTTATTTTCATGTTGTTTTTCATGACATATTCTGACCACGCGCATGAAGCAAAAGCTTGATATAAACAAGAATAGCAACAGAAATGAAGATGGCTGATACTTGACTGTGTTTGGGAGTGTCACTGCTTTAGCCTGACGATAAATGAGGAGGCTAATAATGTGGAGCTGATCTGCTGATGGGCGGGCTGCTCCAGCTGTTCCCATAATTTGACAGGTATTACGCTTTGGCCCTCTGCATTCTGCCTCAGCAGGCCGGCACTTAATTAGGCAAGGATTAAGGCCAAACAGCCTCATTTACGTGAATTGCATCATAAATACAAACTGGCCGCCCTCTCTCCTTCAGGGGGCATCTGGGGTAAATTTGAAAAACGCCGAGGTTGCTGAAAAGAAGCTGCTCCAGGCTCCTAACTCCAGATTTCTCAACAATGAGGAGCCTCTCCCCCTGCTGAGGGCTGCTGCTTCCAAGCAAACGCTTTAACCCCTCAAATCCAGGGAGACGGAGATGAAAAAGGTTGATTTACATTTAATTCAGATTATGTAAATATACTGGTCATGTCCCAAACCAAACACGGAGCACAATGCACGCTGCATGCGGAATCCGTCTGAGATGGCCTCTTTTGTCATTTAAATGAGGGGCACAACATATTACTTTCAGTCATGGTGTGGATATTTAATTGTTTTTCTCTTCAAATACTGATAACTTTTCATTTATCTCCGATACACACTATCACGCTAACATAGTCTGCTTGCTCTTGCTCTTCAATGAAGGGCAACGGGACATTTAGTTCTGCCACCGGGGATGTGCATCTATTTAATAGCATTAGAGGGGTGTATCAGCTCTGCTATCACTAAATGCATGGATGGAGGCAAATCCACAGCAAGCACGTGCACGTGTACTGAGTGATCTCGACTGCCAATCCCTCCCCTGGGTACCAGCTCTCTGTGGCATGTCTGCAGGCACCAGCATGTCTCCCCCATCAGTCTCTGCTGACATTAGTATGCACCCAGGGTCCTTTCACAGTATCGGGGCTATTACTGTATGGGTCGGACTCTCCGGCTCAGACCCGCTTCCCATGTGAATTAGCTTATTTTGTTATCAATATTTAATGTCGGTCCAGTATGCTCTCAGTACAGCTCATAAAAAGAGTGCTGGTGGAACTAAGAGCTGGTTTCTGTTAAGTCAGCGTTTTGATGCTGCTGGAAGGATGCGGGAAAGGAATAAAAAAAAAAACAAATATAGCAGTTTTTTCACAAAGAAACATTTCTTCATGTCCATAGTTTAACTTCTTATTCGAGAACAGGCTTATTTAAAAAGTAGTGACTGACATCAATCAGTCTTTTAGTTGTAGAGTAAAACAGAACAAAATGTTCTTACTTAGATTAGATATGAAATAGCAGGAAATAACTGAATTAATGGGAGAACCTCAATTACATTATGTAAGAAGACTATTTCATCATCAGAGGGTCTAAAGTTGCCATTGTTATTTTGCATTTTCTGAAATTTAGAAGGTCGTCCACAACAAGCAACGCCCAGATTGTATTTTTTCTTTCGACTCGCAAAAATACAATTATTACTACCGCTTGTATCCTTCGAATCCTTTCGTGTGTTGTTGACCTTGTCTGAGGAGCAGATGCTGAATTATGTTGGTGATGTCTCTCTCAGGGCGATAATAATCTGTGTCCATGAGTTAAAATATGAAATTCTTGATTTAGATGGAAGGATTTGTGTTACAGTGACAAGGCTCCTGGTTTGAGTCCCTGGGTGACTGGCACCTTCCTGTTTTAATTTTTTTATGTCTTCCTTGTGTCTGTGTGGTTGCACTCCAGGTACTCCGTCCAAACACCTGCATGTTAGGTTAACTCCGAGTTGCCCCTAGGAGAGAATGTGTGTGGTAGTTTGTCTCTGTGTGGCCCTGCAGTGGACTGGCGATCTGTCCAATTTGTACCCCGCTTCTCCCCCGTTGTCAGCTGGGATAGGCTCTCTGGAATTGTTTTTTAATCTAACTGGTTTATCATTTGATCCAGCCACTGTGGCTCAGATGGAAGAGCTTCACAAACCAAATCGGTTCCAAGTCCCCTGCCCCTCCACACAGCACTGGCCCAGAGACAGAGCCCCACACTGCCCCAGATAGGTTCATTGATGTGCAGCATAGATAAGAACACTCTGTAACGCACGCTGCTGGCATGAGTGTGGTTAACACCTCACAGAACCCGTCCTTGGTTAAAAATGACCGCTGTTCAGTTCAGTCTCAAGTCTGGGACACTCTACCACCGTGCCACATATACTCACATGTCTGAACAAGACACAGGAAATTGGTGTAAAAGTCAGCATTTTTTTCCAAAGATACTATAGATATTGAAAAATTGACAGATAAAAAGGAACCATTTGTTTTTTCCTCCATGATGTCAGTAGGCTCTTTGTTGTTCGCTGCTAATTAATCAAAAAAGCTGAGCTAAATACAGCAGAGGTGGAATCCTATCGTCTGTAGAGGACTGATCATTCTAAATGATCTTAAAACGGGCTTTTATCCAGAAGGTGTTTTTGAATGGGAGTGCTGGGTGACCTTTAACTCCAACATGCTTACTCAGGAGAATCCGTGCTGATCAGCGCAAAGCCTCATCGATTGTCAGACAGGATCTGAGGATTGATTAAACCTGCAGGGTGGTGTCAACAGGAGTCGTAATGAACACTTGGGTTTTTATTGAACCATTTCAAGTTTTGTTAAACCAAAATAAGTCCCAGTTTCGTGACATAGGGTTTTATTAAAAGCCAGGAAATGTGACCATTGTGCTCTTGACGTTGACTTTCACTTCTGTCTATCCCCTCGTTTGTCCCCACACATCCTCCTCCCTCTGCTCCACTGACCAGCATTACTGATTGTTCCTGTATCATTGTAGGCACAGTTGTGTTGATTTATTGGCCCTGCAGCAATCTTGATCCCCCTCATTAGCTCCTTCATTACACCGTCGATCATTCCGTGGCAGGCCATATTGTAATTTTATTCAGCTTTCTCTGCTGTGTTTTGATTGTTTTGCTCTCCATTAAAACATTTAATTCTAATTAACTTTTTTCAGCCAAAAACGAGCCAAAACAGCTCAAGCATCAGAGTAAATTTGGAATCAAATCAGATTTAGACTGTAGATTATCGCATCATTCAGCTCGTAACAATCTGTGTTGTGACACACACTCCCTGTACACGTTTCGATTTTCCTCATTCATGTGACAGTTGAAAATAAGTGAAAATAAGTTAACCTGTAAATGGT